GAGGAGCCGGACCCGAAGCGCATGAAGAAAGGGTGAGTCGTGGTGAAACTACTCGCCAATCAAAGGTGATTGGAGTTTGGGCCCATGCCCAAAGTTTGCATTGCAGGCGTTCAGGGGTTTGCGAAACCCAGAATCACATCATATACCCGGATAGCAAATGAATTCTTGCATGAAGCCATTTAGCAAACGTGTCGGGGTACGAGCTGCACGACGCGTCGACGCGTGCATGTGAAATAGCGGCTTGGCAAAGCACCTGATACGCGATAGGGAGGCACAAGCTTTCAAGAGGCATTCTCGCGACGGCCCATCTCAAGACCCATTACGACCTCTACTCAATCGCACAAACGCTTCTATCTGGACTTTGACCACGCTTCTCGCTGCCAGAATGTTTCAATCCACCTTCCGCGCAGCTTCCCGCAGCGCCGCTCCCGCAGTGCGCACCTTTTCCACGACTCCCCGCGCTCAACTCGCCCGCATGTCCATTGTCGGCCGTCTGGGAACCGCGCCAGAGGAGGTCAATGTTTCGGGAGACAGGACCTTGATTCGATACGTCATCGCTAGCAACCACATGAAGGGCGAGGAGCGCAAGACGAGCTGGTTCCGCGTTGCCAGCTTTGTGAGCAGCCAGGCGCAGAAGGACTTTCTGATGAGCATTGCCAAGGGGTGAGTGGGTCACTTGCTCGGCTGGACGAGATTGTGAAGCTAATAATGCTGTGCAGATCGCTGCTCTACGTCGACGCAGATGCGCGCATGGATTCTTATACGGATGCTGAGGGCAACAAGCGCTCCAACCTGAGCTTGATTGCAAGTACGTATTAAGAGGAGCGATCGCACATTTGGAATCCAATTACTAACGCTTCATAGGGAACGTCGACATCATCTCTCGTCCCAAGGTTGAGGAAGCTGCCGAAACCAACGAGGAGGGCCTCGTCCAGGAAGCCGCCCACGCATAAACACCCCAATTCACCAATATGCTTCATAACTAGCCCTTCAGTCGCTACAAGTCTGTAATTGGAAGCTTCCGTGCCGCAACTCCAAACAATCGGGGTGCGATTGGATCAAGGAGTCCAAAACAGCGTGTGCTTATTGCGCTGGGAATCCCTGCGTGCTGGGAGGGCATCATCGAATATGTGCAGCGCACAATGTATATCGTATTGAGTCGGGCGTCTCATATGTATAATCTCCACTTTGGCCTCCTGGCCTGGAATCTGGTGTGTTTGGGCGTAGTAAATGATACCTTTTCCTTGTTTCTCTTAATGACACTGTGTATGACGTGAGAAGCCATGAGAGCTCTGTGGTTGTAATAAAGTGTCTTTGGGTATATCATCTCCCCGAACGCGAATGCACTGCTCTTGACAAGACAGAAATCGTGACACGTGATCTTAGCGTCCAGGTGCGGACCCCCGAGCTGCACAACATTTGCGGCAGAACACTACCACCACCACTACTCCAGTCATTAACTACAATGAATCGTATAGTCCCCCAAAGGGCGCGTCAGCTCTGGGGCCATGCTCCTCGTGTGCGATCAATAAATCGCAATGGCAGAAAATTTGCGACCGTCTCCGGCACAGATCAGTACTAAGCACCGCTTTGCAATCTTCTACCCCCTCTAACTCCTTGTGTAGCCCATACGATGTGGTCGTCATTGGCGGCGGACACGCAGGCTGCGAAGCATCTGCTGCCTCTGCGCGATCTGGCGCTCGAACGGCGCTCGTCACTCCAAAGCTCGATAATTTGGGCGTCTGCTCGTGCAACCCCTCGTTTGGCGGCATCGGAAAGGGAACAATGTTGCGAGAAATTGATGCTCTGGATGGTGTAGTCGGGCGCATGGTCGACAAAGCTGGCGTACAGTTCCGTGTCTTGAACAGAAAGAAGGGGCCTGCCGTCTGGGGGCCTCGAGCGCAGATTGACCGCGCGCTGTACAAGCAGTACATGAGGGACGAGATGACAAATTACCCTGGTCTTAGTGTGGTCGAGGGGAGCGTCGCGGACATCATTGTGGATCGGACAGAACAACCAGAAGAAGGACAGTACGGAAAGATCACGGGCGTCAGACTAGAGAGCGGGCAAGTCATTCCCACGAGGAACGTGGTAATAACGACGGGCACCTTTCTGGGCGGCGAGATACACATTGGATTGGAAGCGTACCCTTCAGGACGAATGGGCGAGGCGGCAACATTCGGCTTGAGCAAGTCTCTTCGAGAGGCTGGATTCACATTGGGAAGGCTGAAGACGGGTACACCCCCTCGGCTGGACAAGAAGTCGATTAACTTCGGAGTTCTCGAAGCGCAGGAAGGCGACGATCCTCCAGTGCCGTTCAGCTACCTGAACGATCGGGTGCAGGTAGAAGACCAACTCCTGAATTATGAGACGAGAACGAACGAAGATACCCACGAAATCATTCGCCAGAACCTTGACAAATCGATACACATTCGAGAAACAGTGAAAGGTCCGCGATACTGCCCCTCGCTGGAATCAAAGGTTATGCGATTCACGGACAAGAGCTCGCATATCATATGGCTTGAACCAGAAGGCTTTGACAATGACATCATATACCCGAACGGAATCTCGATGACGGTTCCTGCAGACGTCCAAGAAGCCATGCTCAAGACGGTGAAAGGTCTCGAGAATGTAGTGATGCTACAGCCAGGCTATGGTGTCGAGTACGACTATGTTGACCCACGAAATCTCCGATCTACCCTCGAAACGAAGAACATCTCGGGTCTATACCTAGCTGGACAGATAAACGGCACTACAGGCTACGAAGAAGCAGCCGGACAAGGTGTCATTGCTGGGATCAACGCGGGTCTTGCTTCGCAGAAGAAGCCACAACTGGCGTTAACACGAGCCGACGGATACATTGGGATCATGATAGATGATCTAGTCACCAAGGGCGTCTCAGAACCGTATCGCATGTTCACCTCGCGCTCCGAATACCGCATGTCAGCGCGCGCCGACAATGCAGATACACGTCTCACTGCGATGGGCAGAGCGGCCGGTGTCGTGACCGACGCGCGCTGGACAGCCTTCCGAGACGAAGCAGCACAGATGGCCATGCTGACAAAGACACTACAAGAGAAGACGATGGGCTGGACAGACTGGAAGAAGCACGGTTTCGGTGTCCGCAACGACTCGTCGAAACGCTCCGCGTACGACCTGCTCCGGATGGCAGATACCAAGACTTCTTCTCTCGTGGACGTCCTCCCAGACATTTTATCCTTCTCCTCGCGCATCCGCGATCGCGTCGAGATCGAGGCTATGTACGCGCCGTACGTGGCGTACCAGACGGCATCGCAGGAGCGCTGGCGCAAAGACGAGAGCCTCAAACTACCCATCGATCTCGATTATGACGGGATATTTGGATTGAGCTTCGAGGAGAAGCAGGTGCTGAAGGTGACGAGGCCAGAGAGCGTGGGACAGGCGAGAAGAGTTGAAGGGATGACGCCGACGGGGGCATTGAGACTGTTGCAGTATGTAAAGGGATTTGGGAAGGAGCAGCGAGAGGCGAGGATGAGGGAGGAGATTGAGGAGAGGAAGAGGGCATACAAAGGAGTTGATACTGGGGCGGTATTGAACTGAGACGACTTCTAGAGAGGGACTGGGGGGTTATGCATGGCAAGGCGTTGGTTTGTGCACTGTACAATATGAGGTCGCACGCACTGTTACGGATGTAGCAAACTGGAAGAGACCCAGAACAGGTAATCTATGTATGATAGTCAATGTCCGCGGCTTTTCCCATCATGTATGTATATAGAAAACAATGCCATGAAACATGCAAATGCCGAATACTTCTATATAATAATACAATTGCAACCACCCAGTGCGGTCCTCACTCCCCAGTCCCAACCAACTACTGCTTGTTATCCCTAATCGCCTCCTCCTCCGCCCTCAAAAAGTCCCTCCCTGCCAACCCGACGGCCAACAAAATCACACTCCCAAAACACCCGCCCACAATCATCCTCCCTCGAAACCCCTGCTTCCTCTTCAGCACCTCGTCCTCACCCAGAATCTTGACCGCGCTCTTCAACCACGCATAACTCAATCCCGACCAGACCGTCGTCCCTGCAACAACAACCTGCATGCCCGTAGCCACACTCCTCACCCCGTCCTCCCCTCCCATCCCCTCCTGCAACCCCCTCAACCACCCGCCCGCCGCGCTATTCACAGCCGCAGGATCGTGTAGTAAGCCGACGCCCATGGTCACGCCGATGAGCAGCAGCTGCAGGAACGTGTTGAGTTTGGACATGGTGGTGGGATGCACCTCTGCAGAGGGCAGCGAGAAGTCCCAGTAGCGTGCAAACGTCTTGGGGGCCGGGAGCGAGGCGTAGCGGTAGTAGATGGCGGCGATGGCGAGCGAGACGTCGCGGCCGAGGATTAGGGTTGCGAGGGGGAGGGGGAGGGCGCCGCTGTATGCGAGAGTCGTGACGACGGTTGTCATGAGGGCTTTGTCGGCCATGGGGTCTGGAAGAAGATGGTTAGTTTAGGAGTTGAACATGTCGTGGTGAGGGATTTGGAGAGAGATGGGGGAGAGATGGGAGCGTACCAACGACACTGCCGACTACGGTCTGGAGCTTCCATTTTCGTGCTATCCAGCCGTCGAGGAGGTCGGAGAAGCCGGCGTAGGCGAAGAGGGAGAAGGCGTAGAGGTGGTGGTGCTGGACGATGAGGTAGCCAATCACTGGCGTGGCGATGAGGCGTGAGAAGGTGAGGATGTTGGGGAGTGTGTAGATGTTTTCATGGCGGAGAGACGGAAGCTTCGACTTTATTGTTGAGCTGATTGTGGAAGGGGCGACAATTGGTTTAGCGGGTCCGGTCCTAGGAAGGTCAGCAAGTGTACAATAGACTCCAGTGTTTGTGAGATCCAATTCAATGAAATCTGATAAAGAAATGGACAGACAAAAAGAAATAATTACGCCGTAAAGTGAAAGTATGGATCAAGGAAAAGCCCCTACACACAACCAACGACGCCGTACCTTACAAAAAGGAAAAAAGAAAGTAATTGCATCGGCCGGGAATCGAACCCGGGGCTAGCCGATGTTGCGGTCTGCTGTGAAGAACAGATTTGGCAACGGCTAATTTTACCACTAAACCACCGATGCTGATGATCGAGCTGTAACAACTTGATGGAAGAAAAGTGAGGCTTGAAATTACATATGGCAGGACGGAATGAGAAATCGTAAACAGGCAATGACAAGACGAGGAAGCTCCACCGCCGAAATGGCGCGGTGAGTGGAGAAGGCTCAATGGGGATAGCTCGGCATCAAGGCAAAATTGGAATGTGCGATGGGTGGGCGAACACGCGAGCAAACCAACGCACCTCGAGCTAACGTCCACTGGCCCCTGGTTCGCCTTCCCAGAAGCCTTGGGTCCCTCCTTCTTCTTATGGTCCTGCCCTGCTTTCAGCACCGCGGACCTGCAGAAGGGTGCTGTTCCCCCGATCCTGAAAGACGCGCTTTGATTCGACAGCACCGGGCGCCAGAGAGCGTGGTTGGCCGCCCAGGAGCAGGTAGCACGTGAGCTACTTTGCAACAAACTCGATCGCATCTTCGAGGGTCGAGCGAGGGTTTGGAGCTCATGTCGTGCTAGGAGGACGAGGCGGGAGGTGGTCGCAGGAATTCCGAGCCCTGCCATTGAGTATCGCTATCGAGAATGGTGTTGCATGCGTTTTGTTTGCGATCGGACTGGTCAGAGGTGTGACCTCACTCGCAAGTTGATGCCAAGTGGCTTAGTCATTGTCATGGCCGAAACTTTGACCCAGGGGCTGGCCGCAATTTTGGTCTTCTCACGCATAACGTTATATGAGATGTGCAAATAATATTTCATGTCTGGTCTACTAAAAGTTGAGTTCAGCTCTGTGCTGAAAGCGCGGGTCTCTTCTCAAGCATACAACTCAATGTCACATATGTATGATGCGTTCCCAAGTCATTCCATCTTCTGTCAGCCCAGCAAAACCTCATCGTCATCTGCGATCGGTTCAAAAGCATCAATATGAATTCTGCCCACCCCGAGCCTTTCTACGATGCCGTCTGGTCCTTCAGCTTCAGAGAGTAGAAGCACATTCACTGCAGGCCAAAACACTTGGTCGCTAAAATGGCGCTTATCGAAGAATTCGACATTTGATTCAACATCTCCACCTGCAAGTAATACATCGGTAAGCCTGCCTGAATATTGCTTGCCCGAGGAGTCGGCATGGAACGCCGGCATGGCACGTTGTCTGCTCCAATGTTGGAAGTGTTGGCATTTGTCATCCCACGAAGCGTCTTCATCGTTCCTGTATAACGTCGAACGGGACAAGGCGATAAATTTGTGCTGTTTGTTGGCCAGCTTCGGCACCAGTTGGCCGTCAACGATAACAGTCCCAGCGATTCGATCTTTCCTGTCGAGCACAGCGAGGTGGCAAAGCTCGTGCACCCCATCGCGACAGGATGAGTTGTTTCTGGTGAAGGGATCGGCCAGGAGGGAATGTAGGTTCGTGAGCCTGAACATGGCTGTTTTCGCATTGACAGTCAAGACGTATGAATCATGTGCTACTCGCAATTCACGTTCAGGCACTGCATCATCCAGAAAAGGTCTAGGGTACCGTAGCTTCCGACCGTTGAATGTTGCAATGGGGTCCAGACTTTCGTATTCAATCTCAAGAGTCTCTTCATCGAAATGTCGACGCCACCTCCTGTTGTCAAAACTAAACCATGGAACAGCATTCTCATCTTGAAAGTTGGCAGACAACAGGAATGACTCCTCTGCGAGTCTGATTTCAGCTTGGCTGATGGTGCAGACGCAGGTGTTCATCATGGAGTCATTAGGCGCATAGACAACAGCACCGTTCCAACCGACCCATGACCAGCTTGGGAATGCCTTGCTGCCACGTTTCTGGGGCCCAAGCGGTTTCCAGAGCAAAGCAACATCGAAGAGCGTAGCTGGGAGACCAAAGACAAACGAGGATTGGAATGGTTTCCGCAAGTGGTTGAGAACACCGCTCATAGCACGCAACTTGTCCTTTGGGTCGGTAATAAACCGCTGGGTGTATTCCGCAACAGCGGCCGCGTACATCTCCCACAAGTTCCTACTCTCAAAGTCTAGTCGAGCGGAAGAATCCCAGAGGGCGAACCTATGGCTTAGTACGTCTCTTTCAGCCTTGAAGTGGTACTGTTCTTGGAAATGACAGCCTGAATCACAGTAATAGGAGACTTGGGATTCGGTAAAGTACAAAAGGCGTTGGGAGAGGACACGTTCTTGGTATGTCCAGCCTCTTGTGTTCCATCGTGAGAAGCTTACAGCGCCCTGCACCTGCTCCAGCATAGAAGCTATGGTGAATCCATTGATGTCCAGACGAAGTTGTTGTTCCGTTCGCGGTACACCAGGAGAAACGCCGGGCAGGCCATGGTAGGCATTGACGCCCGCGGCAGCGACAATGGTGAGATCAGCTCCCAAGTAGATTTGATCCATCATGTCCACGTTCTTGAGTATACTTGTTGGGTCGTCCTGGACTATACATAGAGCATCAACCCATAGGAATCTGTGCCCTAATTGCTGGGTCACATTTATGGAGTCGATGATGGTTTGAGCTGGCGATCCTTCCGACGAGCAGAGGAAACCTGGAGTTTCAAATAAATGCTTATTTTGTTTGCGAAGCTTCTGTTTTTGATCCGAGCCCCACTGATAGCTTAGTGCGAGGTAAGGGGCTTGCGGAGGGCATTCGATTATGCAGGCCGCTTGAACGTCTATGACCATCAAACCCGAAAGATGACCCCCATCCAGCGTTTCCATAGTAGCAATGTCCTGTGACTCGGACCCGTGGGTATTGCATGCGGAGAGCCATGCTTGGACGAGATCCCAATCGATCTTTCCAGCATCAACGAAGCGACCAGGACTGTGAGGTGATTCATCATGACCAATAAGGAACAGCGACGGCATTACCCAAGAACGATTGTTTTCACCGAGCGCGAACCTTATTTCCCGACGAAATTTTTTGGACGGTTCCTGATCGAGAAGATGCAAGGGAATCATCTCGCCAATATCCAAACAGCATTGAACACCATTCTGAGAAGACTTGTACATGGCATGCGAAGCATCAAGAGCTCTCCGATATAGCACCACAATCCTTAGTGAGCCTTTGCGAACGTGGGACTCGACGTAGGCATGTCCATAAAAAGAGCCGATGACGTTGCGCAGGAAGCAACAGAATACACACTCCTTCTCCGACCAAACATCACAAAGAGGCCGATAGTAGTCCCAATCCGTGCGATCCTTGGCTCCGAATGGGCCGAAGAAGAGGGACGAGAAAGATAGGTCGTTGCATTTCTGACAGAGCATCCGAAGCGCCATTCTGGGTACCAAAAGACCCCACAGTAACAAGATGAGGAAAGGGCTAAAATGCCAATCGAATGTCCCATCAGGCTTCAGGATCAACCGGGAGAGAAGGTCGATGTAGCCATGGAAGACCGGGGTTGACGACGGAGGGATGTGCAGGTGCGGGGTATATGCAGTCGAGGTCATAGCTTCCGTCCTTTGCATTTGCATGTGACGATTAAATAGATACAAGCACTGTACATGAAGAGTCTAACAGAACTTTGGACGATTAGTTTGATCAGCTCAGATGGAGCGGGGTCGGACTACCAAATGATGGCCAACAATTACTACAGGATGTGTAAAATGAACTAGTGTATTTCGACTATGAAGAGTTCATTTATAGGGAAATATAGTTCCGCTGGTCCATTACTTAGCCCCTTGAGCTAGGGCGCTATATACCTACGTTGGGGTGCGAGGCGGTGGCCGGGGAGAGGGGACGATTTCCTACTGATAAAAATCCTACTCCTGCTGCATCATGTGGGTGGGCAGGTTGTATCCAGCGTAATCCAAGTGCACAAAGGCTCTATCGACGTACGGGACGGATTCAATCACGTACTGCAACGACTCGCCCAAATCGTGGCTATCCCTAAGACTCGTGCCTTCGTCGAGAACAATATCGACTTCGACGTTCAGTTTATCACCCGAGTGATACGCTTGTAGGCCCTGTATCTGCTTGATTGTCTTGGCGAAGCGCATTGTGAGGTAAAGGAGAATGTTCGTTTCATCGGCCGACGCGGCGGCGCCGGTCAAATTGCGAATATGCGTCGCGGACGTTGTCGACCAATTCACAATTACGTAAAGCGATAGGAGTATACCGCCGAGAGGGTCGAGCCACCAGACCTTGGCGAAGAAACCTATCAAAGGAAAGATGATGCTGAAGGTGTTGAAGACAACATCGGTCATAGCGTCTTGAGCGAGTGCCTGGACACTGGAATTGCGAATGAGCCGACACCAGAGCCAGCACAGGAATTTGATTACGACGGTGGAGGCCATGATGGCGACAGCGGGTATCGTCAGCTGCACGACGCTGTGGTCGGACCCGTTGAGTCGAGAAAGACCCTCTAAAAAGACCTGGAAGAAGGAGGTGACCATGATGACCGAGAAGACTAGGACTCCAACGGGCTCCAGCCGCCGACGCCCGACGGGGTATGCATACTTGTCTTGTCTTGCAATCATCCAAGCCGTAAACCACACTATCGCTGTGCTGAGGAAATCGAGGGCGGCGTCGACCAAGCTTGCAATGACAGAAAGCGAGGAGGTCATGATGGTAACGACAATCTTGCACACGGTTAGCCTGACGTCTTCGCTTCGCTAGGAAGAATAGCCCTCTATCTTAGGGGGCCAAGTGGGGGACTGGGGGAACTAGATTTCCTAGTGCTCAGTGAATAGGAGCATACCTTCATTAACAGAAGCGCCGTGTTTGCACCCAAATTGATGTATATGGCAAGTTGGACAATCGGGCTGTCGGTACTCTCGTCCTCCTCGGGAAAGAACTCTGGCATAACCCTGGTGGGCGACTCAGGGTCCTCTTCATTGGGCTTCATGAGCAGTGGCGTGTTCTCATCCACGTCTGGGACCTTGTAGAGATTCTTCGGCGTTCGCTTGACTTTGACGTGTGAGCCATTGCTGCCCGTGGTTGAGGCACTCTGTGGAAGGTCTCCATTGACGTTCAAGCCTCCTGGAGTATTGGCGGCGGGCGATGCAGAAGTGGGCGTGGATTCTTCGGTGATTGTCGATGGAATGTTTACTT